CCACTTAGATCGGAGGTCTCCAAACTTGGCAACTTGAAGACTTGTGGACTTCAACTCCCAGAATTCTCCAGCCAGCATAATTTACTCTCTTGTAATCCCTTCCTCTGCAACCTCTCCACTTTGATGGAAGGTCTCCAAACTTGGCAACTTGAAGACTTGTGGACTTCAACTCCCAGAATTCTCCAGCCAGCATACTTTACTCTCTTGTAATCCCTTCCTCTGCAGCCTCTCCACTTAGATCAGAGGTCTCCAAACTTGGCAACTTGAAGACCTGTGGACTTCAACTCCCAGAATTCTCCAGCCAGCATAATTTACTCTCTTGTAATCCCTTCCTCTGCAACCTCTCCACTTAGATCGGAGGTCTCCAAACTTGGCAACTTGAAGACTTGTGGACTTCAACTCCCAGAATTCTCCAGCCAGCATACTTTACTCTCTTGTAATCCCTTCCTCTGCAACCTCTCCACTTAGATCGGAGGTCTCCAAACTTGGCAACTTGAAGACTTGTGGACTTCAACTCCCAGAATTCTCCAGCCAGCATACTTTACTCTCTTGTAATCCCTTCCTCTGCAACCTCTCCACTTAGATCAGAGGTCTCCAAACTTGGCAACTTTAAGACATGTGGACTTCAACTCCCAGAATTCTCCAGCCAGCTCTGCTTGTGGACTTGTCGGCTTCAACTCCCAGCTATGCTAGCCTGGAGAATTCTGGGAGTTGAAGTCCACATGTCTTAAAGTTGCCAAGTTTGGGGTGGTGGGGGGGGCTGCCTTAAAAGAAGGAAGGTTTCCCATCTCTAATCTCAAATGCAGCAGAAGGCTCTAGGAAACAGAATGAAACGGCGAGGCAAAATTTCTCTGGACAAGTTAGGAAAGACTTCGCTTGGATTCCAGAAAGCAGAACTCACATGCAAAAACGATCCGCGGATCGAAAGCTTTGAACTTGGTGAGCTTCCTGATCTGCTTGACGAAGGGATCTTTGGGGTTGTTCATGGAGTTGATGTCCACCCCGAACGAAGTGCTGGTGACCACGTCCATGCTGTAGGCCCCGAAGACACTAAGAAGAGAAAGGAGAGGAACAGATGATCGGTGACAAAGATTTAGGACATGGCTGGAAAGCCTGACAGAAGATACATCAAAACATGGGCAGCCAACACAAAAATCCACCGTCTCCTGAGGGGGTTGGTTTGTTGAACATCCGTTTCAACTCTTGGAATCCCCACACACACATCTGGAGCATGTCGAGTTGAAGAAGGTAGGCCTGCTGTCACCCCTGCAGCTTTCCAGGGTCCTGGATTGTAGCCTGACCCAGAACTGAACTGAGACATTCGATGTCCAAGACCTGTTGTTACTGGTTGTTTAATACTTTGTAGTCTGCAATTGGCTTGATGGCTCTCATGTCTTTGCTTTCCAGCTCAAGAGCCCAGGTTCATCTTTCTTAGATACTTTGAGCAAATAATATCCATTTGGTTTCTGCCATTTCACAGTTTCTCTATTTCTGATCTTTACAGATTAGTTAGTGTTGATATTATATAGATGATAGATAGATAGATAGATAGATAGGTAGGTAGGTAGGTAGGTAGGTAGGTAGGTAGGTAGGTAGGTAGGTAGGTAG